AAGGAACAGAAGAGTGAGGAAAGTGGATCGAGAAGCAAGATGAGGAGCAGGACGAAGTTGGAGCTCTCGGCGTATCCATACTCGCAGTCATAAATAATGTCGAGCCGAAACGACGTGACGCGTGGTGGAACATGTGGGACATCCTGTATATTACATGGCGTCCACTATTCAATTCGCTCTGTACTCACACACGATGTGAGGAGAGAGAGAGAGAGAGAGAGAGAGAAAGAGAAAGAGAGAGAGAGAGAAAGAGAGAGAGAGCTGGCCGACTTGGTTTCTATACTATAGCGAATATAGAGGTGCAGCATTCGTGTACCACCCTGAACACCACCACCATGCACTATTCATGATCGGTTTGGCTAAGGTCCGCGAGAGTTGACTGGAACCATGAGAGAGAGAGAGAGAGAGAGAGAGAGAGAGAGAGAAAGAGCGGAGAGAGCTTCATGGCTTTTGGTAGGTTATGACGCACAAGCTCGCAACGATATATCGTTGTAACGGCAATAAACAGATTATCTTGCTTAATGAAAACGTTCTCGAGCGCTGTGTTGCCGTTTACGATCGTTGAAAACATCTATTGAAACGGCGTGTAAACGTCCATTGATTAGTTATAGCCTTTACAAAGATGATGTTCTTGTATTTCAAAATCTCTGTCACAAAGAATATATGTCGTATGGCGTTTGAATAATATAGGCGTAAGAAAAAATTTTGGCTGACCTGGATTTTGAATTCGAACCCGAGTCTCCGTATATCACGTGCAGTGATTTAATTAAGCTATCAAAGAATTCAAAATTTCTATTCTTTTGTAGTCTCTTAACATATATCTGCTACAATAAAAACACGTTTAAGTCGAAAAACGACGTTCCCTATACTGATGTTTGGGATCCTTTGAGATCTTGAAAGATTCGGCCATGAATAGCAAGGAAATCGCAAATAAATCATGAAAATCTTCTCTCAACCCTTCTCTCGTCCCATTTTCTTCGATCCTCGCGAACATTGTATAATGATTTGAAATAATATTCAACTTCTGATGTAGAAATAAATTATACATTCGTATCTTTGCTCCTTGAGAAATTATTATAGAATCAACGCACCACTAACAAAACATTTTGTTTTGTATTCGTGTTTCTCGGGCGTGTACATATACATATAAAAAAGTAGGCGTATGTGTAAGAAAAATATAGAGAGTTTACGAAAGTCCTTGAATATGAAACGTGTACTGTCAGAAAATTCCCTTCGCATATTATAATCTCAAGAAGGTTAAAATATGTACTTTGAATGAAATGGAAACGCCGGGCGAGAAAGTCACTGGGATACTGTTCGACGTTAGTACGGGAAACAATACTTAATTTTCCAAAGTGGTACTAGCGAGAGTCCGCAGAAAACTTTGGTATTTATATGTAGGTACCTGTTCATGTATGTATGTGTGTATATGTGCATTACGAACCGCGGCACAGCTTGCAAAGAAAAGATGTGCAGCAAGCTGTGCCGCATTGGCGCTGCCACCGAGAGGTTCTTTATTTTAAAGAAATTCAAATCTTATCTGATATGAAAGTTGGTAGGGAGTAGAATCGGCGCACGGTGGGTGGTATAAAGAGAAAAGAAAAGAAAGGAGAAAGATAGAGAGAAAGACGTAGAGGTAACGGTAGTGGTATACGTCGCACACGATAGATAGAAGAAGCTGACACGGTTGAATCGCGGAGCCAATCGGATAAGTACGTTCCTATAGAGCCAGAATGTCTCGTCCAATCTGATATACCGTAGCCTTTGACGTTTCTCATGCCCTATCGCGCGATCTCCCGCGACCTCTGTCTTCGTCCTTCTTCCATCTTTCGTTACTTCCATCCCGTCACCTCACCCTTTTTCTCCAATCTTCTTCGCCTCCTCCACTCTTCTTCTATCCTCTTCCTTACGAAAGACGTAGAATTTCGAAGGAGCAATTTCTCGTCGCCCAATCGGCGCCGAGATTCTGCATGAAATAAGAAGAAAAGCCGCGAGAAATGAATCAAAACAACCGACATTTCAATTATTTCTTACAAGCATCCTTTACTTCACCTTCCTCCTTTTCTTGCTTTTCCAGTAACCTCAAGGTCCTATTTGCCTTGTTTTCTTCTTTCTCAGATACCCAATGAATCGGAGAACACGATCGAATCTAAGTGTTCTAAAGCGTTTAAACAAATACGAGAGTTTTCTCCTTTCTTGTGAATCTATTGGAGATATGAATCATCACGATTGCATCGTGATCACGAAACAAAGATTATAACGGAAAAGATCTCGAGAGAAACGATATATTTTAATTTGTTAGTAACAATGAGGGAATACGTGTAACTCATTTGCCAAATAATTTATTTCCTCTAGAAACGAGATTTTTATTCGAGCGAATGAGACTCAATAAATTGAAGTTGATTTATTACTATCAACTTTACTGTCGAATTAAATTGTGTAAGCAATAGCGCTAGATAACCGATTGCAAATGTTTTGTTCTTTTAATAACGATCGGTTTCTTAGATTATTTTTAACCTATCTCTCTCGAAGCATTTTTTCACAAGATAGAAATCCAGACTTATTACAAGTTTATTTATAAATCTGGCAATAAATCTCATATTACCGATTATCGTCAAATTTCCAAATTAAATATTATGCCAAAAATATTACAGGTATTAATAGCAGAAAAACTCTCATCGCTTAACTAAACAATTCATTATTAACGAGCAATATGGCTTCCAATTATTTTATTCTTACTAATCTCGCATTTATTATCAATTGCATTGCACATGAACTCGAAAATGGTTACAAGGTTGATGTTATGTATACAGATTTCCATGAAGCTTTTAATACTGTTAGCTATAAAATCATAATAAATAAACTAACCTCGATATAATATAAATATACTGTCTTAGCTATTTAACTATCGAAATATCTCACTTGAATCTTCATTTATTCAATATATTTACCGATGATTGTTTTAACTTTACGCTAACAACCGGAAAATAGTTCATAAAATTTTATCTCCTCTAAATGATTCGAATCCACATAAAGACCTAACGAATATCATTAACTGGGGTAAATCTAATCAATCGAAATGTATCCAAATGTGATATTATATGTTTCCATCGTAATTGATAATAACATCCTAAACGGCATCATCAATGTAAGAAATCTTAGACTCATGTTTCCTCCTATTATTCACGAAACATTACAAACATATTATTCTTTTAGTTTTTAAAACCTTCGATTTCATTATGTAGGTGTTATCAAAAGTTTAAAAATCCTGTACTTCGTTCTTTTACTTACACTGTACTTGCCCATTTCGAACCACAACTACCAGATCTATATTTATCCCATATAAAAAATCCAGCATGAAGTCTTATTTTTTGTCTCGTATAAAATTGGTAAGTCTGAAAATTTGCTATAATTACGATTTACTCTTAACCTCTCCCGAATTATTCGCTCTACAAATGCGCAGACATATATATGACCTAATGTTTGTCTTCAAAATTATGAATAATCCATATTTTTTAATCTAAAACTTTTAGCTATTCCACACAATTTTGCATATTATTAATATAAAATTAAAAATCTGTGTGTTTATAATTTCCTTATAACTCCTACTATTTTTGTCTAATGCAGATGAAATTTTGTTTAGTGCTCTTTATATTTTGACAAAAAGTATAGGTATATGCGGAAATATTAGCTATAAAACAGACTACAAGGTTTTAAATGAATAAATGGTTCTTTATTAAATGACACCTATGCTATGCATTCTATATACTTTAAATGATCAAGTTATATAATTGACAGTGCAACGTACTAGTAACTAATATTATCGCAAAAAAATTGTGTCTATCATATTTATAACCAGGCCAATTCCTTCGCTCATCTATTTCACTTTTTTCGCGGCTCGTCCTTTTTTTTAAAAACCATATGAAAATTGTAATAGATAACTCATTTCGCATCATATTTCGAACAAATTATTCAATTTGTTCCAGTTTCTTTATGTATTAATCTTTCTCTGTATCTGCATTTAATGCTACTAAAGAATATAATTCGCTTAATAAATATTATTATTATTATTATTATTATTATTATTATTATTATTATTATTATTATTATTATCATCATTGTTATTATTATTATTATTATTATTATTATTATTATTATTATTATTATTATTATTATTATTATTATTATTATTATTATTATTATTATTATTGTTATTATTGATAAAGTCATCTTAGATAAATTAAGTTTTTTATACTAGAATAGTTTCCTCGTCTCATTCTTTACACTAGGTCCAATTATACTTTAGTTAGACTTTACATTTTATATTAATTTTTTCCTTTCTTTCTTCCTGAAGGCTGCGTTTATTTGTTAAATCCGCAAAGATAACTTTGAAATGTTCAATACATCCTCCTCTTTTTCCCTTCTCTGTAGAGTCGAGTAATAATCTCCAGCCGTGAGAATAATTAGGCACGTTCGTTGAATGGCACTAGGTAGTCTTTCTGAAAAATTGTCACGCGTAGATCCTGGCATACTTTTCTCAAACCGAATTCCGACGAGTGAACGAAGGTGTAACTACCGCGCACGAAAGGAAAAGGGGTGAATGATAGAAAGAGGGGTGATCTATACACTAGCAGGGGTTATAAGAGAAAGAGTCAGAGTAGAAGAGGATTGCGAGGGTTGTTGAGCCAACGTTGGCGTCAATATCACGTGGATGTAATGGTAGCCGGTGTCAGATACGAGAGAATGTTACAGATGAATGCTACAGAGAGAATCAAGAGGATCCAGGAAGAGAGAGAGTGAGAAATAGTTAGATAGATAGAGAGAGAGAGAGGGACAGAGAGAAAGAGAGAGATGGCGATGGAGAGCAATGCTTCGTAGCTAGACTAATCGGATAATTAAGTTCCGCAAAATGGAAGGCTAGCGCCCAGGAGAAGCAAGCATCGAGAACCGAAACCTCTCGACCACGCAACGCATCATCGCTATTCTCTAATTAACGTCGGTAATCAGAATCGGTAAGGTAATCTGATTATCTCCAGTCAGATTGTTACGATTCTGACGTAACGTTCAACTGGTTGATTGACCGAAACCTCGGGAACCAATGACGTCATCGATTGACTGCAACGCGCACTTCGGTTTCACAATTCTATACGAATGTAGCTCGTTAATGAGAACGGCAATTATCGCAATAAGCATCATATATGATACGTTGGTCGATATCTCACTTTCTTCTTTGTTCCCTTTCCTTTTAATTGAATTGTGGTTGTCGTCTAGATAATAATTCGGGTAAAACAAATGGCCTGAAATTGAAGATAAATTAATCAATCAACTTTATATATAAAACGAGAGTAATGTTACAAGTTTTCAGGAATGATTGTAACATCTCAGTTGAAATTCTCTAGTCATTACGTAAAATCCAAGTTTAGAGCATAAATTTGACGATTGCGAAAAAAACTACAAAAAGAAGCATTGTAGTGTGGTGTGTTCTATCGAGGTTTTCAAATGTCGTTTAACAATTTCGTCATAAATCCGCTGTAGAGAGGACGTTTGTGACATGCTAAATGTACTATCTCATATCTACACCGTTCAGGGAGAACAGAATCGGTAAAAACTGGTTAATAAAAAAGAGAGAAAATAAAGGTAAAGATATAGGAGAGAGAGAAAGAGAGAGAGAGAGAGAGAGAGAGAGAGAGAGAGAGAGAGAGATAAGAGAGAGAGAGAGAGAGAGAAGATAAGAGAGAGAGAGAGAGAGAAGATAAGAGAGAGAGAGAGAGAGAGAGGAGAAGAGAGAAGAAAGAGAGAGAGAGAGAGAAGAAAGAGAGAGAGAGAGAGAAGAGAGAGAGAAGAGAGAGAGAGAAAGAAGACAAGAGAGAGAGAAGAGAGAGAGAGAGAGAGAGAGAGAGAAAGAAGACAAGAGAGAGAGAAGAGAGAGAGAGAGAGAGAGAGAGAGAGAGAGAGAAGAAGACAAGAGAGAGAGAAGAGAGAGAGAGAGAGAGAGAGAGAGAGAGAGAGAAAGAAGACAAGAGAGAGAGAAGAGAGAGAGAGAGAGAGAGAGAGAAGAGAGAGAGAGAGAGAGAGAGAGAAAAGAGAGAAGAATCGAAACCGATGTACGTCTGGCTCCATTGGTCCGTTCGGATTGTTTGCCCATCATTGACACACGACCGTATCGATCCCTCTAGGCATTACTATCGCAGAGTGAAAAAAGTTTGCACCCTGCCGAAGTTGAATGCGTTACCGCGTATAATTTGTCTGCAGCGATATCCATCCGATATTGAATTCAATAGAAAATGCTGCAACGAGTTGTATATGAATTCGGAATTATTCGCTTTTTTACTAAAGCAAAAGTGAAGTTCTCAACTGCTAAAATTGCCTTTTCGTTGTACATACACCGACGAATTTATCGCTAACCGAGAGGACATTTGTTTCCAATGTATAATTTATAAAATTATCTGGGAAGAAGCAATCGCGTTTACAAGCAATATCCTCGATTTTTCTAATTGGATTTCACTTTACTAGCATAACATATCGGATGTGTAGAATTAAGATCGACGATTATTCGATTTTACAAAACAAAGAAGTCTCAATAGCTTTCGAAGTTGTAACTTTTGTTTACTATCGTAAAGTAATCAGAATCTCACAGTGGAATATTTGCAGTGAAAAGCCGGACGAAATTAGTATTTCTTGATCTACATAACCAATTTTCTAAATTTTGTGTAAGTATACCTTTAATTGTAATTACATGTCGATACGGTAACGTTTTTTAATATGGATAAGGTAACACAAAATTAATTATAACTGTAACATTCCTTCGCACAGGCCAAAATGATTTTTATCGTCAAAATTCCAACATCTCCGACGACATGCTTGATTAATGTTATGTTGTTCGCGATGAAAATGACGACGCCATTTTTTACTGTCGCCGTAAACGAAATATTTATTGTTATCGTAAACTCCAACGACAATTTCTATTTTTAGCATGCGCGTAATAAATCAAATAATCGGCCGACAGAGCATAAATTTTTGAATAGTCGATGTGTTTGGTCGTGTTGTGCATTGAGCTCGAGAAAAGGAAAAAGAGAAAGAACAAAAAGTTAAAGTATTATCTAATACCGTCGTTCTATAAACAAAGCTAGCCAAAGGTAAAGTGGTATTAAATGTGTCGCGTTAAAATCGTTATGATTGAAAGTAGGTACCGACTCGTAAACCACTTAATGCTAATCGTTTATGACACGAAAGCACATTGTTCCAATGGAGAACCGCTACCGTTGCAAAGTTATTCGCTGTTTATTGACGATAAAATTCCATAACGTACCGTGAAGAGGGCTTGGCAAAGCTATGCGGTGGATGGTTCGAACCAGATTGCTGTAACTAAGTGCGGGCGTAATTAAAAGCTTACTGATTGGTTTACGATAATTTAAGTATGGTGATATAACAGAGTGAAAAATTCATAAAAAAATGACGAAAGATCAGAGAGGCAAAGAAAATTGTGAGATTAAAGTGTAAGACAAAAAGAGAGAAAGAAAAAGACGGGGTCAAAAATTACATGATAATACAGTTTATATAAGACGATATATAGGTTATGTGATACCAAAAAAAAACAAAATAGTTGGCTTGTTAGTTCGTGTCACACATAATTAAACCCGCCACTGTATACAATGAAGCTAGCTTATAATAGTAAGACAGAAAACGAGATACAATGTAGGAGGTTGGTGGGAAGGAGTATGAGAGAGAAGAGACAAGGAATGGCTCGATAAATATAGACGGACTGCTATTTTCCAGTAGTCGCTTTCGTGATTTTTCGCGGCAGAATGATTTTCACTCGATCCCTTTAAAAATAAGACTAACTGGATCATTTCGTTCAACGTATTTGCTTGACGTTAATTTATTCGAAGCTTTTTATTCCGCACTTTATCTATACTCTCTCTCTTTCTCACTCTTTCTCTCTCTCTTTCTCGCTATCGTCCTGGTTAGAATGGAAACGAACGCGGCCGTTTAATCGAAATTTCCCCGGCGATGGACGTTCCACGCACGAGTTTCTCTGTGACCTATCACTCTCTCCCACCAATGTCCAGTTCCAAATTCTACTATTTTTCTGCCTCTCTTCCTCACCACCCCGCAGAAAAGCAGACCTCCCAGGCAATTTAATTAGCAGAACTACTCCCTCGACAGCAACACGTAACACGGAGAACTAACTTAACAACGCTCGCCGGCAATCCATCCAGTACACTAGGCGACTCCGATGCACGCGAGTGCACGCGAGAGCGAATGCACATACGAGCAAGCGCGTACGTACGCTCGCCGAAAAGGGAATGCGACAAACGAACGAATGAGCGATCGAGTGCGAGTTAGTGTGCAAACGTCAGGACGCGCCAGGATAGTTCTGCTTCTACGCGTAAACCGTACGTATATACATATGTACGTGTGTCGAGTCACTGGACAATGGCATTGGCTTAACCAGCTTGCTCTTCTCGTGTTCAGCGTACTACTGTTACAGCAACAGATTGCAATCAAAATGTTTAAACGTACCGGCTACGATTAAGTCTCGAGGCCCAAGAGTACTCGGCTCTTAACTGAACGAGAGACATCATCTAGCTCGAAATTAATAACATTCCTTTTTATGTTAATGTCACATGAATCGATCTTTTAATTTAATAATTTTCAATATTAATAGTAGGCTTCATATTTTATATTTGATCGATTGCTCAATTAGAAATAATTGTGAAAATATGGAGAAAGATGAATATTATTGTTTATCGACGTTAAACACGCCCATTAAATTTCAGACAAACTATACTTACTTGTAATTCGCTCAACGATTCTCAACATGTATATAGATATATGTATAAGCATATTCACGAAATGAATCTTCATGTATTTTATTAGATGTTTTCGAGACGCGCCAAATTGCCACGTTTTTATAGATGTCTAGATATATATCTCATCCAGAATCCTGATTTTCCAATTACAAGTTTTGAGACAAACACTTTTAAGCGTTTTCAAGGAGACGAGTTGAACGAGGGAGGCATAACTGGTGAAACGGTAATGCGTTGATGTCACTTATTAATATCGCGTTTCTAAATAGAAATTCTCCCAAATCGCCGATATACGAGCCACGAATCGCGGTCACAGGTGTTAGCTTCGTAAGAGCTTGCAGACATAACGAGAAGAGATGGAAGAGGATAAAGAGGGAGGAGATTCAAAAAGAGAACGTGTCGTGTCTCGACTGCCCAAGCGATTCGTCTATACGAAAATAGGAATGGAAAATCTGTGCTTAAGGGATTAAAATAGGATTACGAAATATTCGAAATTGCCGAGATTTCATGCAAAAGCTCTACGTATCTCGTGGTAACGTCCAGCCCGAATTCCAGGCGATTAAGTACCGAGTCGATGATTTATAAAGGTGTGCACGTCCACTCAACGACTAACAACGAAATACGAGCAAAAACCAATCGGGTTAAGCTGCTTAAGTGTCGTTTTGATATTCAAACATTTGGCATTTCAAAATGTGTCTATAAAAGAAATAGAAAAAGTATTTTTTAAATAAAATTTACAAGAAAGAAATTACAAAATAAATAATAGAAATTACGAAAAAAAAAAATAAAATAGTACGATCGACATTATTTTATAGGGCTATTTAAAAAGCGTCGTCATTGTCGTCGAAATGGACAAATCACTGCCAGTGCACAGTCGTTTTGTAAAAGACGAAGTAGTCGTAAGAATTTACGATTTTGTAACGTACATCTGTACTCGTGAGCATGCGCACACGCACGAGTGGCAGGCCATATAATAGCTGATGTTACAGGTTTGCGTCGTAAAAGCGCATCATTAAATAGTTTTCGACCGTGAAAACGGTTCAACGTTTGTTCATAAAATTTTCCTTTTTTCTCGTTTTCTTTACGTACTCACCTCATAAGAGCGTAATTCTCAATAAATGATACCATTGCGATTATCACGGAAATGAAACGAAAAGAAAATTTTTCTCGCGCTAAACTCATCAAAACATATGCAGGATTTTTCTGACACGATTTAAAACAAAAAGAAAAAATAAGAAACAAAGAAGAAAAAAATTTGTAAGCCAGATAGATAAGGCTATGTGAATGCTAATGAGAAAGAAGATTTTTCTAGGGCGTCCGTGCATGTTCTAAGTGAGAGTTCCTGTCCGCGTTAAACTCTTCATTTCCTCGAGGTTGAATTTAATGTCCGATACGTGTGTGGCTCATTAAACGTCATGCTAGCTTTCGAGCTGATCGAAGAATAAATAAGGGTGAATAGCGCAGAATCTACGCGTGAGTTTCTACGACCTCGAGATAGCATGAACAAGTGTGTGTTCGATCGCTAGGAAGAGGGATGAGAAGTTCGAGGGAAAGAGAAAGAAGGTGTGTGAGAAAGAGAAGGATACAGAGGTGGATTAATGCGAGTCCATACGAGGACACCCGCTGTGCCCTACGGGAGTTAACGCGGGAATCGCGTGTTCCTACCACGAAACATGGAACACAGTCGAATGAAATTGAACAAAGAGAGAAGAAGGAAGACTATGGAGTAAAGGAGAATGTGCAGAAGAGAAAAGGCACCATTGTGCGAGCCAGGAATCTTTTGGAACCTACATTCGCAAATGAGTACTTCCACTAACTGAAGAATGCTTCAAACGACTGATCCAACAAAACTCTAAGATTATTGCATTCTTATTAAACACGTGCATACGTTAATTCGATACCAAAGAAAAAAGAAATAACAATAATTTAAAAATTTTTTTCTTAATTATTATTATAGTTGTACAAAACTTTTTTATTACTTATAAAAATTAGACCGTTCCTAAATAGCGGTTCGTTCTCGAAGTGTCGATTTTGCGATCGATCGACAAATTTCGTTCTGAAGCTATATTATAAAGGAAGCACTGCTTGGATGATCGCCTTTCAATCACCCACTGAGCCGATAAGAGCATCGTATCTAGAAGAACCGGCACCATAGAATTCGCCATAACGAGATCGTACAATGTTACCACCCACGCATGCCCATCAGGTGTGCTGATAAATTACTGAAAACCCTCGTATCGTATCTTTCAAATGCGTTTATGACTTTCAGAAACTACCTAGGCTACATCCATTTACCGTACGCCTCGCCACAATTTTCAATCGTCTTTGAAAAAGCGACATATCCTTTCTATTTGTTTCTAATTTTAATAATTCTTTTATTAAAATTATTTACTGTAAGCGCGGATAATGTTAAATAGAAATATAATATATATTATAGACCGGTATCAAATATTTGATTCCATTAGCGATGTCTGTCAGAAGAAAAAAATATCGGAGATGCATCTGAGTTTAATCAAAATAAAAAAAGACATATATGTGTGTAAATAAGTGAGTAAGCGAATCTAGAAGAACGAATGCAAGGCTAAAAGATTTTGTTTGCGATTGTTACCAAGAGCACTTAGCTATTTAATTTATTTAATAAAGTTTTGAGTTTTGTTTAAATAAGGCCATTCTTGATAAATTAATATTAATTTTTATATTAGTATTAGTAGCTAGTAGACACTTTTATATTAGTTTCTTCATCTCTTTATTCTTACAGTATATACGTTTGAAGTTCGATTCTTTTTTCGTATATTACGTAAATCTTATAACGATGAGCCAATAAAGAAACGATTGATTCGAAAATGCTAGATAATAGTTTAAATTGTCCACGAGAGGCTTTTATCTAGTCAGAATATACAAAGATGAAAGATTGAAAACTCTCTAACATGACATTTTCATAGACGATCAGTAAGACAGAACAATGAAGAAGAAAAAAGGAAAACTAAAGAACGAGGGAGAAAGAGAGAGACAAGGAAGATCTACGATCCAGGAAGGGCCTTAATAATCCCGATTCATAAAACCTAGTATGCCGTCCTCGATACGCTGGTGTCGGCCACGAGTGGGCTGATAAAGAATGACGATCGTAAGGGAAGAAAGTTGCGGGGTGCTTATCGCCTAATAAATTCTACTTCGCTAGTGCTATCTCTCTCTTTCTCTCTGCTATATTCTCTTTCCCTCTTGCTACAATCTTAAAGACAACCGTCCATTTAAGAGTAAAACTGTCGCGAGTTTCTCTTGAAAGTATTTCTTACTAGTAGACACTGCGTTTGATAGTAACCATCTGAGAGCATAGTTCAACTATGTGAGATCGATTGCATTGTAGCATGCTCTCAAATGGAAACAGAAATGTTACTATTGGAAAGCTCTCTTGGAAATATGAATCAGTTTATTCTAAAAGTAGTTAACGAAAAGTGGCAGCACGAAAACTCCTGTAAAAAAAAAGATGAAGAACATATAAGACCTTTGAATTAATAATAATACATGAAATAAATTCAATATTGAAAAGATATATGTAGATATACCTTTATCCTAAAACGAACAACAGAGTAAACGAATAAAAACCGCATTAATTAATCTCCAATGGACACGGTTCTGAGAGTTCTGTCTGATAGTAAACTATTGATGAGCATACAAGTGACTATCTGAGATTAAACATTATCGAAGTTGTTCTCAAACGAATACAAAATTTGATAGTATTCTCGAGAACAACTATCGCAATATCTTGAATGGGCGTCTTCAGATAGTTGAATTATGCTCTCAGATAGTTAATCTCAAATGTAGTGTCCACTAGCAAGAATAATTCTCGAGGGTAACTCACGATGGTTTTATTTTGAAGTTGTTTTATCTCTTTTATTCTCATTTCTTCTTTTTCTCTGAGTATTTCTTTACCTCGTCTACGTCGTAGCTACAACATGCTGTGAAACCTATGTAATTATCACCAGTAAGTTTCAACTAAATTTTCCACTAACGGCGATTTATGGTCGAATTAATAGATTGCTGATGGAAAGAGATAACCGAACGGTTCTCTATCTTTTTCTCTCTCTTTCTTACTCGACTTTTTTCTTATAGCATGCATCATCCTTTTTAACTGATATCTTATCGATAAAAAGTCGAAACTGAAAATTTAGAGAATCAACTAGAATTGATAAGAGTCGAAGCCGAGAATGAATAAGTCGAGATTTTCAATTTTTTAATCTTCTTTCTCTTCTTTCTTCTCGACTTGTTCACGATGATGAGAAGTTTTAATGAGACCTTCTCTATCGAGCCACCAAAGCGGAAGAAGAACCGTCATTAGTTTCGAGCTCGAACGATAATTTTCTTCTTAGCTCATATAGCTCACTACGATACATTGAGTACTTCGTTCCATGCAATTAATGACACATATATAAATATCTTAAACGGAAGAGTGATTCCGTAAGAGTAATTCCGTAAGTCTAATTTTTAAATATATAAAATAGATCATTCCTGAAGAATTCATT